AGTCCGCACATTCTGTCTTTAGTAAGTGACATGTGGCATGCACAATTCCCCAAGGTGAATAGCCTGTTGCCTTCCTTCAAGAAAGCCTTCAAGCACTGTTTAGGCTGTACACTCTGATACAGGGAGTCCTTCACCAGGTCCAAGTGGGTACTCATTGACCCTCCCTGGCTCAAGATTTGGAAGACAAAGGCTGCTGTAGAAACCAGCCAAACCACCATTACTGATACCTGAAACTACATGTCCTAGCCTGGAGTGCATATTCTCAGTACACCAGGGCATGCCCCTGCCACTAGGGTCACAGAAGGTCTGTCGCTATAAAAGGGGGCAGTGAAGACAGATGCAGTGGGATGCCCTCTCCATCTGGACCAGCACTACGCCACACCACCTATCCACCCAGAGGCCCTGCCAGCAACCCCCCTCTGGACAACACCTTGCTGGAGAATACCCCGACTGGCCATCGAGGATCAACTCACAGCCCAGGATAGGTAGCTATCACCCACCTTCCTTCCTCAAGCAAAGGACCTGGACACTGTCCTTACACACCTTAACTTCAATCCCTCCACCAAGCCTTTTTCTCTCCTGCTACCATTGTGTGTGTGTGTGTAGGAACCAATAATTTCGTGGGGCTGTGTAGTGTGTTGTCTGTTTAATAAACCTGTGATTTTTAAACCCTGAGTTGGGTTTTTGTCTTATTGACTTCCCAGCTATCTCCCAGCTTTCTGCCTCTCTCTTTCTTAGCTGTCTCCTCCTTGCCACTGGGCTTTTTCCCTTGCTTCCACCCTGGTGCCAGGTGACCGTGAGTAAACCCAGGGCACATTAACCCTAAGTAACCCCAAGCCCCAGTGGCCTCAAGTAATCCTGGGGCTGCTTGACCTTAAGTAATCCCAGCTCCCCTCTGGTCTGCCAGTTCTAAACTCAGTCCTGGCACTTTCACTCTCTTATTTTTCCCTCTCTCATCTTAACCCCCATTCATCTCCCTCCTTCCAGAAATCTTTGACCCTTGATTCTCCCTCCCATTGTCACCAAGCACCCTAGGTACCCCCAAGTACCCCAAGCACACACACCCCACACCACCCAAGTTAGGAACTCACCTGTGTGTATATGCTTGAATTGGTGATAGGTGTGCATGTGCTGGTAATCTTGAATGTGCATGTGTTCCTAGTGTGTGTGCATGTATCTAATGTGTGTGCACATACCTAATTGATTTTTGTGTATATATGTGTAACTGTGTCACACCCTCCCATCTAACATCACAATTTTGAGATCCTGAGAACTGGCCTGGCCCTATAGGACATCAGTATAAGCATCCAGAAATTGAACCCAGGTCTCCTGTATGGTAGATAAGGATTCTACCACTGAACCACAGGGGAGTCCAAACTCCTTTTTACAACTTCATTTAATAAAGTATAGTCATGGTATTAGTTACAATTCATGTTGTGTATAGCTTTAATTCCTTAAGACACTGCAATTTAGAATTTAATGAAATGCATCAATTAATGCTTTCCATGGGCTTAATCAGGGTAAAGCCACGGTTTTGAGCCATCTGCCAATCTGCAGTGAGGGGAGGGACTGCTGGGGGCCTTCGACCACTCAGAGGCATGGTGGGGGGGATGCTAAGCCTGCAGACATGGCAGTCAGCCCTGTGATCTGTCTGCAAAATGAACCACCTGCCTTCTTGATTTGGGTAGACCTCTACCCATAAAAGGGCTAAATGTGAGACTAGAATTTGCCATAGCAGTTGATAAGTTTGCTTTTTTTTTGTCTACACAGAGTTGTAATAGGAGAAACAACTGGAAATACCAGCATACCAAGATTAGGGAAATTACCTGAAAGAGCTCAAAAACATTTAAAATCAGGAACTGACTTGAAACTCTGGCTTTCTTTCCCTAAAGAAAGAATTCCATGGTGTGTGGCAAGGGAGGAGGGAAGAGGTGTATGCATATCTACAGGAGTCAGCACATGTCTACAGCCAGATCTTTTCTGCATGTTATAGTGGTGATCAGGATAACATGGCTGTTACAGATCTGGGTGAGCACCTCCTCTTTGGTCAGCCACCAAACAGCTGTTTTGGGTCCCAATCCACCAGGATCACTGTGCTGTAAGCTTCTAGAAGCTGTACATGGCCTAGGTCCTTGCCCTTGTTTGGGGTCTGTAGGCACACTGAAGTGGGAGGCCTTTTATGTAGTACCCATCTTAACAGACAGGCAGTCCACACTGCCTAGGATAGTGAAAGTGTATGGATTTTGGGAGAGATCACTACGAGACTGGCTAATCCAAATAGATGGCATTTATGCCTTACCAATTTTGATGGGTTAAATACCATCCACAACAATCTCTCACACTGTAATCTTGATGAAGATGATGGCAAAAGTGTGGGCAAGGATCAGGGATCTTGAAACTAGGCAAGAATTCTTCTGCAGGATAATGAAAGGTGATGCAGCTATCTTTCATCAAATAGGCAGAAATTTTAGGGTAAAGCATTTTTTTTGGATAAAATATTTGCTAAATAATTTGTACTGACATAGTTTGAAGAAGAGGATGTAATAATTTCGTAGGTTGGATAAGATTCTTAGGCAAGTCCTCCCTTTTTATTTTCTTTCTTACTCTTCCAATGATTTCCTGTTGACCTTTACCTTCCCTTATTTTCTCCTCCCTTGTGCAGTTCAAATGCATGCATGCTTATAGGTAGCACATTCTTTGAATAGAATACAACATTATATTTATTGTTGCCTTCTTAAAGGGTCAATTCAGGGTTGCACTGTAATTGAATACACACCTGAGAATTCTAACTTGAGTTCAAGTTGTTTACATATTCAGGTTAGGTCAGCTTTTAACTTCTGGTTATATTTCAGCAGATTTGTATTAAGCTATTAAGTTTGAATGCTTTCAACATTTTGGTAATATTTTATATTGAATAGCATATCTAATAATAATAGCTGAGCAATGCCAAATAAACATCAGCACTATTACAAGTCTGTCTCTTGATCTCTGTGGGTTACAGCGTCCTTTTAAAATTTGCCCCAAGTGAAAGGGTATGTTTATACATGTTCCTTTGGGTGTGAGCGGTGGATGTAATCTACAATTTACTACTCTTTTGATTGGTCAGTTGTCATAGAATGTATGAAGAAGTCATTCTTCAGAACGATTGCAGTGTGAGAAGGAAAGCCCTACTTCCATTAGCTCTGAATAGGGAGCAGGCAGAGATGGAAGCTGGCCCTAAACCCTTACTTGGGTAAGGGACAAGGGGGAAATCCTACCTCCTGACTTACTGTGTAAGCAGTCACAGAAGACATGGGAGACATGACTTCTGCTAGAACACAGAAACTGAGACTCTGAGATTGGGCACAGTCCCATATATATCCTAGGTAGGTTAGCTTGCTCTACACTGCATTTGAGGATTACTCAAATCTAAAGAGGAAGAGAACCCTGATGACGACTGAAGGACTCATGATAAGGGGACCCAACTGTTGATCAAGACGATTGTGACTGAACAGGAATAGTGACTGTTGTAGTGTTGGTCCAAAGAATACAGAAGAAACAAGATTTGTTTAGTAGTATCTTTTATTGGACCACCTATATAGTTGGGAGATAGAAGCTTCTGGGCGTGCAATGCCCTTCCACAAATCTAGGAAAGAAGCAGCCTAAATACCACATAGAACAATTACTTTTGTTTAAACTCATTACGTAAATGTAAATGATCACTTGAATAGGAAAAAAGGGCAGTAAACCTGTGGAGCAAAGAGAAGTTAACAATTATCCAAGTAAAGAATAGTTTACATACATAAACTTAATTAGGTAAAAGAATAAAACCATTCAAAAGGTAAGAGGGTTTTTAACTATATGTGGAGTATGTGGTGGGACATGTCTCACCACAGCTGATCCATTTTATTGGAAGAAATGCACATGACATCGCCCCTTGTCCCACATCAGAAACAGGCCCAACGAAGGGCCAGAGGAAAAGTGTGCCCCTTGCCAAGAGATGTCCTACCTCTCTTACTGCTCTGTGCACTTTTGTTGGGACCACTGCTGACCCATCCCTCTGGGTGAAGTCTGTCAGCACAGGTCATGGAAACAAGGTGTGGGGTAGAGCAAGAGGTTGGAATTTAGAAGCTGTTCTGAGCAAAGGGCAGCCTTGCCACATAGATTGTGGGCTGTGGCAGTAGCTGAATGCGAGTCCCCTGTGCCTCACTGCAGGAAAAAAAAAGGATTCCATCCCCTCAGTTCTCCTCCCACATACTATTTCTAACTGTGTCTTTATTATGCTAGTCTTTCCTCCTTCCTGTTGTCTCTTTAACTCTCCAGTCTTTATTCCTCTTCCTTCTCACTCACCTCTGAGAGGTCCCTCTGCTGTCCCACTCTGTAGAAGCTTCTTGCAGAGCACTCCCTCACATTAGCTTATAGTGGAGATGTCCCAGTGCTCTTCTTAGGATTTAGCATGGTTGTGACTATACATATATTATTATTTTAATTAATAATAAAAGACATCTGTGAAAGCATAGTATTAAAAACAAACATTCTTATAGGTTTATGAATGTCTTTCTTATCTGTCCCAGGCAAGATGAATCTATTTGCTGAGACTTGCTTTGTTGCTTGCCTTTTGCAAATATTTTAATGAAGAAGTTCACTGGGATACATACTTGCTGAAAGGACTGACCATATGGAATCATGGAGAACAGCTGAAGAAAATTTAAATTTGAATTTCTAAACATGAGATTTTATCCCAAAAATTGATTGTATGGATTAGACTTATTCAGTCAAGGAACAAAAATATGGTCCTTCTGTCCAATCAAAAGAGTTCCAGTTCATATGTTTTCAGTAAGTAAATATTAGCACTAATCAGAAAATGGCAGTTATTTTCTGTAGAAAAAAAATGAAAAAACAATGACAATTTTGGATTTTTAAAAATTCTGGTATACATTTTTTGGTTCTTTGACAACTAGAAAATTACATTTTTAAAATACCAAAAAATAGTTTTGAAGGAAAAATAATGGTTTACTGGTGTTTGAAAACTGATATTATGGTAATATGGGGGAGGGAAGAGAGACTTTGAAACCTTACTGGTTTTCATGTTTTGGTTTTCAAACAAATGTTTGAAGAATATTTTCACTAGAAGAAAAAAGTGCTGATGAGAATTTTCAATCAGTTAACCCATGTAAAATAGGCTGACTAAAAGAATCCATACATTGAACAGTACTCATAGAGCTAAAAGTCATGGAAGACATGCAAAAAACCCCTCAGAAGAAGGCATGGTTGTCCTTTGTGTCTGTGTGAAAGTTTTA